AATGCAAAATTATTAGAGAGTAAAATTGTTCTTCAATGATGAAAAATTTGGAACTGGAATATAATGTAAATTTAGTCTCTTGATTTTTGTCAGTTCTCTAACTTATGGATTCTGCAGCTTACCAAATGTTTTATGTTGCTCTATCCACATTTGGGCTCTGAACAAAAAAATACATATGAAACTCTTTTCTGAATGAATTGTAAAACATTGGTTAATTGTATTATTGCTTGTAATATAATAATATTGCACACAAACTTTATGGCCACCTTGTATAATAATGCCCATAAGGAAATATAGTATGGGCCCGGCGCCTGTGGCTCAAGTGGCTAAGGCGCCAGCCACATACACCTAAGGTGGCGGGTTCGAATCCAGCCCGGGCCCGCCAAACAACAATAATGGCTGCAACCAAAAAAAATAGCCGGGCATTGTGGCAGGCACCGGTGGTCCCAGCTACTTGGGAGGCTGAGGCAGGAGACTCGCTTCAGCCCAGGAGTTGGAGATTGCTGTGAGCAGTGAAGCCATGGCACTCTACCCAGGGGGACAGCTTGAGGCTCTGTCTCAAAAAAAAAAAGGAAATATAGTATGCACAATTTGTGGAGTGAATACAATCTATATCTGAAGGAAACTATCATTTTCCCATTTATTTTTGAGTAGAAGTTATCACTACAGGGAAGGCTTTGCAGCCTAGCAATCACCATTAATGGCTGTGTGTTGATCCCATTTGATCAGGAAGATGGTGAAATAATTCAGTTGACAACTTTGGAGTCTGAAAATTTGAGTTATATAAAAACAGTGAACCCTATTATATGGCTTTTTTTTTTCCAAATGTATTCAAGTCTATCATTATTATTATAGGTACTATGCACCCCAGGAGACTAAATAATATCAAACTACCTAAAAAGTCTTTAGTGGATTAAAATGACAGATTTACAAATATTACTCCTAGAAAATCCTTCTGATTAACTCACTTGAAAAATTTGAAGTGTCTCTATCACTGCACTAAGAAAAACACAAAGACAATACAATTGTAACCTCTGTCTATAAGGCATTGGTATTTGGTTGGAAGCTCTGATTCTTTCTAAAACTTTCCTTGTCATTTTCTAAATTTTTCTTTTCTTTTTTTGGAGCTTTTCATTTGTTTATCCATAATTTACTCTTTACAAAATATCTTTATTGAGGGATTATGTTCTAATTTATTCTCAAATTTTCATTCAAGTCTTCCTTAAAATAATTTAGAAAAACTATGTATTCTTTTATATATCTTCAATTTAACATTTAAAATAGTTTTTAAAGTTCAATATCTGTGAAAGATGGGATTTTTTTTCTGGTTTTGCTATTCTTTTAAATAAATCCAAAAGTCTAAAAATATCATAGTGATCTGATATACAACATTGTTATTTTAAAAAAATACATGAAAAAGTTTTTGTTTTGTTTTCAAGACAAAGTGTCACTCTGTTGCCCAAGACTAAATAATATCAATCTAGAGTGCTTTGGAGTCAGTAGCTCACAGCAACCTCACACTCCTAGGTTCAAGTGATCCTCTTGCCTCGGCCTCCTAAGTAGCTGGGACTACAGACCCCTGCCACAACTAGTTTTCATTTTTTTGTTAAATAAAAATGCCCAGCTAGTTTTTATTTTTCAGACAGAATTTCACTCTTGCTCAGGATGGTCTTGAACTCCTGAATTCAAGCAATCCACTCACCTCAGCCTCCCAGAGTGCTGGGATTACAGTTGTGAGGCCCCACACCCATCTAAAAAGCTGCTGTCTTATAAAGAGAAGTTTACATCACTCATTTTCCTCCTTCAGTATCTATAATTCATTTTCCCCACAGAATGACATACAAATATGATCTGTTTTAGTATTGAAGATCTTTTATGAATAATTTAATATCTTTGCAACATAAACTTTTTATATACCATATTTTTATGTTTTTATATCTTATAACTATAAATCTTTAATTGTTAATTTTCTTTCTTCGGATTTAGTTCACATTATAATTAGAGCTTCTATACAATTGTTTATAAAATAATATTTTATTGGAGTTTTATTGCAATGAAATGAACAGGGCTTTTTTTGTATATTAATTGCATTACTTATATGCCAAAATCATGCTGTGACTTTTCATTCAAACTTAGTTTTAATAATCTTTCACTTCACAATTAGATGAGGCTCTCCTTCAATTATGTGGTAGAAAAAGTTTTAGAAATTACCTGATTTGCAAAACTATTTTTTATTTATTTAAATTATTTAATTCCTTATTTTCTAGAGGTACACCAACAAAATTTATCAAGTATTAATAATTATAAAATAGACCTACAAAAAAATTTTTCACTTAGAGCCACCTTGCAGAATAATATATTGGATTAAATTACCTTTTCATTTTGTTCATTGTTTCCTCCACAGAAGCTGTTTAGTTAGAAACAGTCCCACGTATGTATTTTGGTTTTATGCCCTGAGTTTATGGTGTGACATCCAAAAGAATCATTACCAAGGTCCACATTGAAGAGCTTTTCCCCTATATTCTCTTCCAGGAATTACATTCTCGCCCTTACACATACATCTTTTATTCATTTGAGTTAGTTTTTGTGTATGGTGTAAGATAAGAGCCCACATTCCTTATTTTCATGTAGAAATCTAGATTTCCCAGTACCATTTATTAAGGAAACCAGCCATTCTCCACAGTGTCCTTTTGAAGCTCTTATCAGAAATTGGACATCCATACACCTTTGGATTGATTTCTGGGCTCTTTATTCTGTTCCCTTGGTCTTTGCTTTTGTTTTTATCCCGATACCACACTGTTTTTATTACAACAGCTTTGAAATGTAATTTTCAAACATAAAATATGATGCCTCCAACTTTGTTTTTCTTTCTCAGTATTGCTTTGGCTATTTAGTTTTGTGTGTGCATGTGGTTCTATATTAATTTTAGAGTTATTTTTTTCCATTGCTGTGAAGAATGCCTTGCAATTTTTATAGAGATTTTATTAACTCTATATGTTGCTCTGAATAGTATGAACATTTTAACAATCACACTTACATGTGGAATATATATGTGTATGTGTATATATTTTAATACACACATGCACAGATATATAAGCTCAGATGCACAGAGAGAATGAAACAGAAGGGTGGAGGGGAAAAAGGACATTGAGAAATGTACGTCAGAGGGCACCAAATAATAGATCTGTAGGATGAAAAGTCTGGAGACCTACTATACTACATCACAGGGACTAAAGTAAATACAATTGTATTATATTTGGCATTTTTGCTAAATAAGTAGTTTTAGTTGCTCTTGTCACAAGAAAAAGTAACGATGTGAAATGATAGTTATGTTCATTTGCTTCACCATAGTAACCATTGTACTATCTATAGCTATGTGTATCTCATAATAATATCACATTGAAAACCTCAAATCTATGCAATGAAATTGATTGTAAAAATTCTATTCATATCTTCATGCTATATTCCGAAAAAAAAAAAATTGTGATAGAACAAAAATTCAATAAAAACCAGTAATTATTTCCTGGAAAGTAATAAAAATAAAGACAGGATGAGAGGAAAATAAATGTCACATATAATGTAACTTTACTAAAGCGCTCTCTTGATTACATTTTTATCTTGTTAAATAATTTATAGTTCTAATCAGTTTAGGGGGAAATAGCCACTATAGTCAGCTTTTATTGTCATGCCAGTCAATCAAAACTCTTTACCTGACCTGATTTTGTTTTTCAGTTCAAATAAACATATCCATATGCATTTTAGGGAATATTATAAAGGTAGTGAAAAATAAGTTCTGGAATGCAATTTTAAAAGGTAGTTTACTAGAAACAGCTCTTTAAATTTAAAGCCCTGTATATTTAGTATAATTAACCTGAATTTTAATTTAGAAGGTACAAAAAATTGGTATGTTGTTTCTCGTTGATTTACAATAGTGTGATATAATTTGTAACTATAATTATAATGTTATTTATAAAGTAAGGAATATAGTTTTAAAAAAGAGCTTTTCTTTGGTAAATGTATAGGTATTTATGTGCATGCTGAACTCCAGTGATTTACATTAGAGTATAACTAAAAATCACATATATAGCAAATAACTTCATTAATTTTATAGACAGAAATATACCTGTTAACTTCACCTATATGACAAATAACTTCATTAATTTTATAGACAGGAATATACTAAAACTGATAATTCTTATTAGCTGCCTTAAATTTTGGCTTCTGGTGATAAGAAATAAACCAAACATTTTATAAGTTGGATATTGATTAAAATTGAAATAAATATTTCATAATATGTCACAATTGAATAGCTGTTGAGTAGGACAATTAAACAATGCTGTCTAAACCTAGAAGATATTGTCTGATTTTTTTATCTGTAGCTATAAGCCATGTAACTTAAAAAAAAAAAGTTGGTATTCCCAAAAACATTTGGTTACGTTTGAAATAATATATCACTTACTTGCAAATTCTTTGGCTATTCAAGGGTGTTTTCTATTTAAAGATAAATCCTAAGTATGTCTCTGAGATCACACCTTGCTTCTTTCTCTGCAGACTATCCCTTATCAGAAACACATTCTTTCACAGAGTTAATGGAAAATTACCAACACATTTTCAACTTACCCTGCCATATATCTGATGCGTGAACATTTCTCGCATTTCTGTTGCCATAGTTCATCCTTAGAAGAAGCAGTAGACCAAGGCTAAGATAAAATAACAAAATATTAGGTGAATTTATGGTAACTTGATTGATAGTTTCTTTGTTTGGGACCCTGAAATCTTTTTAAGTGCAGGCAAATATTCCCTAGTAAGATGCTTAAGGAATGAGCTGTCTTTCTAAAGCAAAAAGTGAGGTTGGTGCAAGGAGGTCAGGGAAGCTGCGAGGTCCACAAAAAGTGTGTGTGAGTTTAAGTATTTGGATATTTAGCCATTTCCTTTTTGCTTATTAGGTGGTTAACTAAGACTCAATAAACAAAAATTAAATTAACTTCTTTCTTTTGCAGCTGTTGTGAGCGCCATCCCTGTGCCAACCCTAGAAAGTGCCCAGTACCCAGGGATCCTCCCGTCTCCCACGTGTGGATACCCCCACCCGCAGTTCACTCTCCGGCCTGTGCCATTCCCAACACTGTCGGTGGACCGAGGTTTCGGAGCAGGAAGAAGTCAATGTAATGCATTTTATTTTCTTTTCAATAAGAACAAGTGAATAATAATAGCAAGGATGCCTTGTCAAATGTGTAGAGCATTTTGACTTTTTTATCCCATGAAAAGATTGATTTGCCTATGATCTTGATACCAGAATTCAATTTTCCAAAATAGTGAATTAGAGCCTAGCTCGTATGCTTTAGTCTGTTTCCCTAGGAGTCTTTCTACTGATAACACGGGAGAAAAGTGGTGGGGAAACAAAAGACAAATGGTTTCCTAAAGCAGTGATATGATGGGTGCTTGACATTAATATCTCCTGTTTACTAGAAAATTGGACAAGTGATAGCTTCCAATATATTTCTGTTTAGTGTCTCTTGGTTATGTCTTATTGATTCTTGATGAACCAGTACTTAGATGGATGCTTTATATTTCTTTAATTGGTTAAGTGATACCTTTCTAGCTTTAAAAATTAATTATTGGGGAAGAATTTTCCAGAGTAGTATATCATTTATTTGAGGAAAAGTGGGAATGGAAAGAGCCTTTTGAGCTATTGTTCATACCCTGGTTATTTCTCCTGGGCCATTTCACTCTTTTTTTTTTTTCCTTTGAACACACAGTATTTTAAAATTGATTTTATAGCTTTCATCTCTTAGTTAGGAACAGGTGACTCAGCAGCTCATGTGAGATAAGATGTTTTGTAATAGATATGATGGTAACAGCAATAAAATGTATTTGTGAGGTAAGGTATATTTTTGCAACCCAACAGGGACAGTTCTAAGAAATCATAAATCATCTACATGTAGCAAGGTTAGAATTAAAAGGCATCAAAGATCTGCTGAGAGAGAATTAGATTTATTTTCCCTTTTCTCACGGCACATGATATCTGTAAAATAGAGTTGTGTGCAAAAAAACCCCAAGGAAAAATAATCTCCCAAACCACGCTGAAAAGGGAATTAGATGAAAAAAATGCAGGGAGTCTAAGAACCCCAAATTTCTCAATCCCTGGACAACTAGAATGTGAGTCCAGTCAGAGAATTCAGAACTCACAAGTCTCTTCTTCACCTGAGAAATAGAATTCTTCCTAAAAAAACAACAAAAAAAGATGTTTTGGGTTTTAGTTTAGTGCGCGTAGAATAACTTTTATCTGATCTCTCTAGCATGACTGATACTAGCCAAAAAAAGTTTAGGACCTTTCTTATTAGTAATTAACTATCGTTCCTCATGACGTGTTCCTCATTTCTTCTCCTTTCTTAAAGTCATAGTCTTCATCTGAAGATGTTTTCACTGAGGTCCAACATCCCATTGACTTTTTCTTTTTGTTCTCTCGAGTCGGTGTACCATGGGAAACCATCTCTTATTGAATCACAGGGAAAGTGAATCTAAGTTATATTTCCATGAAAATGAATAAAATCAATTGGCTAGTATAAAATTTGTGTTTATCTATGGTTAATAGATATTTATTCTTATGCACAACTTGGCTGCGCAATGTTAACAGAGGAGAGGTTGTGGGTATGTGGAGGCAGAGGACAGAGGGGACAGCTCTGTACTTTCTGCTCAATTTTGCTGGGTACCTCAAATGCCTCTAAAATGTAAGATCTACTAACAGTGAAACAATTTACAACAGTTAGTCCCTTCCATAGATTTTTGTTTGTTTGTTTGTTTGGATGAATTTTTAAAGTCAAAATTCTCAAGTGAGGTAATGATGTAAGTATTAAATAATATAAATATTAAATATAGGGCTATTGTGTATAGTTATATCAATAAAAGACTTTTGACAAAATGCTTAGTAATTTTTAAACTTTATCTAAAAACCCCAAGGCAATGGACATTCCACTCCCGGCCAAGATTTTTACATTTTTGAAATATTGATTCAGTCACTCATCAGGTGTATTTTGAACAGAGGTATGTGCAGTGCAGAAAGCATAGGATCTAAAATGTGTCCCAAGTGATTGTTCAGAAAAGAAATAAATAAATAAGCCCCCTTTTTTTCTAGGAAAACAAATATTCTCTAAATTACTGTCAGGAACAGTTAACTCACAGGCATTTGGTATCGGTTTCTAAATGCCTTAGAGAACACGATCCATCCCTGTTCTCTCACAGGCAGAAAACATTTCATGACTCTGGGTAGAGACGTCTTATTAGCCACCTTGAGAAACAGAGAAAGGCACAGGGAGAGAAAGAAAAAAAGTTGACTGGCCAAGTGTGGAAACTCTTCTTCCTCCAAAGTTATCTGAAAGACCTTTGAGTTTTATAAGAAGTAAATTACTAAACACCTTCGCCAAAGGTCTGCTGCTCTCTGAAGGCACAACTAAAGCTTTCCCCTGACCGTAAGAAGAGGAAAGATTCAATACTGCACTCCCATTATACACATACGGTGACACGAAGGTTTATATAGTTGTGAGGGACAAATATTTTCTCTTCCTACTAAGTAACTGCAGTTCTGCCCTGAGCCTCAGTGGGCAGATGAGCTGTGACATTCAGCAGTATTTTATTAAAACTTCAATAAACACGTAGTTTGTGGGTGTCATTCCTACCCATCATTGCAACACTGGTGTCCCCATTTCCTTATCTTTGAATCAGGCAGGTCGTAGAGGAGAAAGATAAGCAAGATCCACTAGTCCTTTCAGCTCTGTTAGCGTAGAGAGTGGGGACTGTGGTCAACCTTTTCCTATGCTATTTTTCTGCCCCAGTTTTTCCCCGAATTAGAAATTAACTAACAGATGGAAATTGACCTGGATGAAATAAGTAGTGTAGTGGCATCCACGGATGATGCTCTAGGGTCTTGGCAAACATCAGTCTGTGAGGAACCCACAGGAATTCTGTAAGGAATGTTGCATGATGCTGTTCGTCAGAGATGAGTGAGTGAACTGGACTCCTACAGGTATTCTTGAGTCTACGTCTGTGCGAGTGGACTGGACTCCCACAGCTATTCTTGAGTCTACGTCTGTGCTCGGAGTTCTTGGTGTGCTATATTTCTATCAGATATTGTAGTTTGTGATAGAAAAAAGATCCTCATTTCCATTTTTGCAATATTTTTGCCAGTTATCCGATAGCAATTATTTATGTATGTTGACATTAATTATTATAAAGTGCCTTAAAACTTAACTCTGCCGTGTAATTATTGTGCAATGAATTCTGACTACTTCATCATTTGATAACCAGTGCCTTGCCAGCACATATCTGATTCTCTCTCCACACTCTGAATTGCAGGGAGGCTGTGCTTGCAGGTGAGGGGAGCTTCTCTTTGCTTTCAGAGCCCTTAGGACAGCTAAATATCATGTCACGGAGCCAATTGGTTTCATGTCAGTGTCCTGAAGCTGGCGCCTGAACTGGCCACAGGAGCTCATCTGAAATGAGAATATTTCTCTGGTGGAGCAGTTGCTATTGTGTTTGTTTAAGGGGTTTTGCTGCCCCAAATGTCAGTGAGTTCTGAAAAGCGTTTATTGTGCTCCACTTACAATGTAAGAATTATAAATTATCTGTAGAAATTCTACACCTTTGTCGTATTCACTTTGAATGCAACAAAAACAGTCCCTCGTGGGTTTGTGTAGGTGCGTCCCGAGGCTGGGCCCTCCCACTCCCATCTAGTGCACTGAGCACTGGCCTTTTCACCAGTGTGGTCTTAAGAATGGATTTGACTGAAGAGCTGGCCCATCTGGGTCAAGCCACCATCACCTCCCTCAAAGTCAAGGAGAGTCCCATCAAGCAGCTTGCACTGGGGATCGTTGGGGCCCGCTGAAATCCTGGGGAGGGAGGACTGGGAAGGCTGACGAATTCGTTTCTGAAGATGCTAATGAGAAACGGTGCCAGTGAGAGAGGGTAGGATGGGGGACGGACACAGTGGGAATTCAGGGACACCATCGGAATTCGCGTCAAATATGGAACATTGATCAAAATAGATTGAATTTCAAAGGACCAAAAACACGTGAACTTTATTAAATGTGTGATCACAATAATCTTTTGACATAGATTTTTTTTTCATTTTGAAGATGCAGAAAATAAATAGAAAAGACAGTGACGGGAAGAGGAAATACAGTAAGGGGAGTCGCACACGTGCCTCCCAAACGGATGACGGTTCCTTCACTCGCTGAAGCCGCTTTTAAACTTCCATGTGGATTAATTACAATCCACCTTTCAGCGAGAGGATGGAAGGCAGGTTGTTAAGGAGTAATATGAAATTTCTTTCACTGGATGGCTATTTCGAATGTGATGAGATGTACATCTTAGTGAAAGCCAGCCCCCAGGACACAAACACACACCAAAGAGCAGCCGTCTCCAGAACCTTACACGCAGCTCACGGAGAAACTGAGAGGCCCTCTGTGAAGGGGGAGCCCAAACATCTTAAGTTTCTCAAGCATTCTTCCCAGAAGGTTATAAAACCCTTGTGGTATTTTCTCCATCGCAGAGATCACGCCTAGAACACTGCTCAGAAAGGGCCTGTTTTCCTCTCTGTGCAGCTCCTGCAGCCTGTCACTTTACACGTATCCTCTGAGGCCTGTGGCTTGAAGGAAGTGCTAGTAAGGAGACCCTTCGTGGAGGGCACCTTTTCACGTGAGCAGAGAATGAGCACAGGACTCACAAAAATGCCCAAGATCAGGCATTGGCTGAGGAGTTAAGCCTTTGTGTGGACTTGCCGGCCATTTTCTTCTTAAAGCTAAACATGAGTCCCAAGTAAAACCTCTATAATTTTCTTTGTCTGTAAAACCACACTCTGAACAACCACAGGATGCAACTCTGATTGACCCCAACACACAGTGCTGCTCCCCCCTTCGCAGTTTTCCAAGCCATTCAGCTCCTTATAACCCTACTTGACACCCCCATCCTATGGGCCCTTATCTGAGAACCAGCATCACCCAGGACTTGCCTGGTGGTTTCCTTGCAGCCCCAGACCTTTCCCTTGAGATGCTGCCTTCATCTGCCCTTCTTTCCTTCTTTGATAGGGCTTCTTAGCCCGGAGGTAAGACACTACTCTTCACACTCCTCTCGCACTTAGGATTCTCCCAGTTTACTGTCTTGACTAAGTTTCCAGGGTTTGAAAAAATCTTTTATCAAGCCTCTGCCTACTTCTTGGCTGGTTGCTCTGTGACTGTACCCAGTCCTCAGTCAAAACCTGTATCTTTCCACCCCCATGTTTAAATGGCATAAGCCTGGAGGTGGTTCAGCGACCCATCGGACCTCTTCTGAATATGGAAGAATGAAGAAAGATTCCCCGAAAGGCATCTTTCACTTCCGTATAGCTTTAAAATTACGCCTTGATCTTTTGTATCTTTGATCTCTACTCCCTTCAGTGTTATCAGATTTTCTTTCTATCCCCTCTGCCCTTGCTGACCTCCTTGAGCCTCCCAGAGAGTTATTTCAAAATTATCTCACTAATTATCTTGAAATATTTCCTGGTTAAAAATTCTCTTACAAAAGTAAGATACTATCTTCCAGTGAGGCATTTTTTTTTTCAATTTATCCCACAAAATCTTCTTCAGAGAGAAGTCATCGGAAATCATCTTATTGTGTTAACACTTTGACGTACGACGCAGAGCGCTTTTCATTTGCAGGTTAACATAGCCCTGTTGACTTTGAAGGTAAATCAATGAAACTGAGTCACAGTCCTTAGCAAGAGAAACTTCCCTGAAACTATGTTAGTCTGACTCAACTGTGTTCTCTGGGAAAAAAATAAAAGGTACATTTCCATATTCAGAGCTGTCCAAATGCCCAGCGGCTGTCAAAAGGATGGTGCAGAACCGATTCAACTATAGTAATCGGCCTGAAAATTACAAGGCTTACTGCCAGAGAGAAAGAATTGCAATTCTGTATTCAGGCAACTTGTTCCAGTGAAGTCATCGTTCATAGAACTTTTTAGCTAGATGTGCCTCTATTTTGTTACAGAAGATAATGATAGTGGTTATCGTTTGTATCATTTTATTAGCAATGCCTTCGAGCACCCTGTAACTCTGATTTGTTTGACAGTTGACATGGCATGTTTAAATCATAGAAAAATTGGCATATTGGCTGGTAGATTACAGTGCAGCTGTAACAGTGTTTGGTACATTGAATTTCCCTGACATCGCTACTTACAGAAGGAGAAATAACTCATTTTCCTCGCTTCATCACTTGTGATTAGAGGGACCGGGCAGTTCAGGCAATACTGTTGATGCTGGATATATTTTACTGCTCCGTCTCAGAGATAAATCCCCATCCTGTTGGATCCATTCTATTGTTAAAGGTGAAGTGCTATCACATCCCATAAAAATCTGAGGGTAGAGGGATGAGTATGTCCATAAGGTGGGGAAGATATTGGTCAGATCCTGTTACACCTTTCTGGACGGATCCGGGAGCCTGGCAGGTGAATTGTTTTTCTTGTCTCCACTGCAGCTGTGAGTGAAGGGCCGACCACCCAACAACCACCCATGCTGCCCCCATCTCAACCAGAGCATCCCAGCAGTGAGGAGGCACCAAGCAGAACCATCCCCACCGCCTGCGTCCGACCAACTCATCCACTCCGCAGCTTTGCTAACCCTTTGCTACCTCCACCAATGAGTGCAATAGAACCGAAAGTCCCTTACACACCACTTTTGTCTCAGCCAGGTAAAGTACCCATTTGTTCTCATTTATAATTATTCTCATTCTTGCCTCTACAGAAGTGCTTGAGGGTGCCTGAGAAAGTCTCACTGTAATATCTCTTCAACATTGATTGTGTGGCCATTATGCTCATTGTTTGTTACTGAGGCTCCCAGTGCTGCTCTTACATATCTGCCTTCCAGCAACTGGCTGGTTATAGGTGGTTTGCATTCCTCTGGAAATTTGTCCATGAGTCCCAGAGCCAGCAACCATCTCCTTTAATATGTACTATGCGTACACCGACTAGTGAATACTGCAAACATTCCTGATTCCCTCATTCTTCATTCTGCAACATGGAAACTAAGATTTAAAACTAGATACCCAAACTAGGGTAAAACCACTTCGTAAAGAAATGCATTTAATCTTGTCATTCTGCTCCCTGCCTTGCAAGAGTCATCTCCCAAGGCTGCTTACTTATTTCAGAGTACCAGGGTCAGAAAGAAGTGTCAGAACCAGTGCTGAGACCAACTTTCCAATTATAGAAATGAAGAACCCAAAATTTTGATGGCTAGGAAATGACATGTCTATGATGCCTTTCTAAGAAAATCAAGTGACAGGGATGAGAATCAGAGCAGAGCCCTGGATTCCCAATGCAGTGCTCATTTTATTACCTCCACTGGTATCGAAAAGGGCTGAAACTGAGAGGTCCATTTTGTTTTTGCTACAGATTGAGGAGGGAGGGGAGAAGGGAGAGAGGGAAGGAGAAAGAGCCAAAGTCAGATCAGAGAGAAAGAAAAAAGAAGAAAGAGAAGGAAGAGGAGAAGAAGAAAGGGAAGAAAAAATAGAACAAATGACAGGTAAATAGATAAGTAGATAACATGGAGATAAAGAAATATGTCATTCTTAAGATGATGTGGAATATTAGCATAATTCTAAATGACCTCAGTCTATCAGACATAAGATAGTAAAGTTCATCCAGAGATGGCCCCCTTACTAAACGCAGGCAGCCGGACTGCGCTAATCTACATTGTGCAAATACATTTGAGTAATTTTCTGTAACTCACATCCATACCTCAGCAATCTCTGTCATTGCATTAGTACATAAGCCTCATGGTGACTGTGATAAGTAGAAAACTAAGATTGTCTGTGGGGTATGAATAGTAATTATCTTTATATTAACACTGAGAATATATCTAGGTCCTGGCATCACGTTACTTGTGTGTGTCACCTCTGATGTTCTCAACCTTTCTGTGATGTGCAGTGTGGATTATCAGCCCCTGGGAGGTGGCAAGGAGCTTGGAGGCATGTGGGATTCTGTTGGGTTGGGTTTTCCTGGACTCAGAAGCTCAGCATAGGTCATGACTTCCTTCCACAGAAGATCGCCCTTTTCACTCCAGCAAAGCCCACACTAGGACTTGGGTCTGTACTGTCTCGGGCCCTGTCTCCAGCCTCCCACACAAGCACACTCCACACACTTGTTATGGTGAGGATCTGCTACTTTATACTGTCCCAAAAGTCTGATAGTTGACATAGAGACGATCTGAAGCAAGAGACTTCATTTAATGAAACTCTTGCGTCAAGAATATGCTGCCTCGGGATCCTGGCCGCAGCGATTCCCCCACTGCGATCCCAACCAAGCGAATAGACTTTAAAGGAGATTGGTTTTCAGGATAGTGACAGGTTAATTGCAACTGCTCATAATAGCTGACCTTTAATGAATTTTTAATGAGTATGCCTACAGGACATATTCATTAAAGAAGGCTTATAACATCTCATTTGATCCTCCAAACAACTTTGTAAGGTAGCGCTAGTCTTAACCCCACTTTATGCTTATGGGTTAGGAAACTGAGAGAGAATATAAGTAGCATATTTAAGTCTACAAAGCTGTAAGTGATGGTGATGGATCTTTCCCCTACCCCACTCCTCTTTTTGACTTTAGAAAAACATGAGGTCTCAAATTTTAGAAACTCACTCATGCCTCTTGGTTTATATCTAACTTTTTAGTGATTACATCATTCCAAAATTGATGAAAAAAAAATAAAAAAATCTGAATTGATAATACCATTTCCTCACCAGCCTCCTTCAGTGACATTTTTTGTTTTTGTTTTTGTTTTTAAGGTTTTTTGTTTGTTTGTTTGTTTGTTTTGCAGTTTTGGGCCAGGGCTGGGTTTGAACTTGCCACCTCCAGCATATGGGGCTGGCGCCCTACTCCTTTGAGCCACAGGTGCCACCCTTAAGTTTCTTTTTTTTTTAAATTTCAGGTTAATATGAGGGTGCAAATGTTTAGGTTACACTCTTTTCATTTCTAAGGTAAAGTTCAAGTTGTAGTTGAGCCCTTCACCCAGGGGACGTGATGAACACCCTCACATTGTGCACATTAGGTGAGATCCCACCAATTCCATTCCCTCCCCTCTCCTCTCTCCGCCCCCTTGCTAGACTATACTCTGATTTTCTTTTGTATGGGCATATAGTTGTTTATATCTTGGTTTCATATTAGTATCGAGTACATTGGATACTTTTTTCCCATTCTTGAGATGCTTTACTGAGAAGAATGTGTTTCAACTCCACCCAGTAAACACAAGGTTGAGTAAAGTCTCCATTCCCTTTCAGCAGACTAGTACTCCATGGTACACACATACCACAGTTTGTGATTGCATTCAGGGTTGATGGGCACCTGGGCTGCTTCCACATCTTGGCAATTGTGAACTGAGCTGCAATAAACATTCTGGTGCAAACGTCCTTGTACTAAAATGATTTTTGTTCTTCTGAGTAGATACCTAGTAATGGTATTGTGGAATCAAATAGAAGATTGGCTTTTAGTTCTTTGAGAATTCTCCATATTTCTTTCTGTAGAGGTTATGTTAGTTTGCAGGAATTTTTAAGGAGAAAAAATAAGAGATTTAACTATTCTGTACTCAGAAAGATCAGTTTTATAGCAGCATTAGGAAACTAAAGTGGCATAGCACATTACACTTAATATTCTGTCTGCTGAGAAGTAAAATTTTTTTTAAAAACCACATTGTTTACAGAACAAAAGTTGAAAATGATATTCTAAAGCTTATTTTAAGTGAAAATTTTTACTAGGACAGTGATGTTTCGTATGGAATACAAGGTTTGGAAAGCAACCCATGTCCTAGAGCCTAAGTTGATAATCAAAAAATGATCAAAAATTAATTTAGAAAAAAGAATCTGATAGAGGGAGCAAAAAATTGGCTTTTTTAAACACTAGTTCTTATTGTCTTCTGATTACAATAATATAATACCAATGCTGCATAAGAAAATCAGCATGAGGTAGCACGCGAGTGGATTGTTACAGCCTTCAGAGAAGAGTTAGTTGTGCTGCCTCTGCAACTATTCCGTCAAATAAGAGGCAGATCTGAAGAACCGTTCTCTGATCTACTGTCAAGTGAGAACAATCTCATTTTCTTTCTTTTCATTGTATGCTTAACAGCCTTCTTTTGTTTTACTACTGCTCTTGTTTGTATTTGAACTACTCACAAGCTGTTTCTTCTCTCATATTTCCTAATATGTCTGGCTGGAGTTTTTGGTTCGATTTTATATTTTTCACAGCTCTTTTTTCAATATCACCTTCCTCCACTCCTTTTGAGGCAGATCCGACCATGACTTTGGAATTACTAAGTGCCGTTGCCTTTCATGTTTCTCCTTTATTGTTTCCCTGTGATTGCTGTTCATTTCATAATGTCTTACCTCATGATTTTCAAATAAGTTCTCCCTACATTGCTCCTGACACATGGTAAATAGTATGCTTTTAAAGAGGGCTGATGTTTACTTATTCTAATAGAGAAAGAAAATTAGCAGACTGACAAATGTATTAGCTGTGACAGTAACTACATGCTTCTTAGCTTAAAAGATGAAATACTTAGAGCTTTCAACAAGTTTTAATTCTAAGAAAATCATTACTTTAGTCAAACTGATTGATGAAGTAAAGTCATTCTCTTGTCGGCTTAAAAAAAAAATACCTCAAATAATTTACCTCTGACTTTTGCAAGAAAGGACTGCATAATTAGTAATGAATTTATCTTTACTTACCGAAAGTAATTACTTTAGAATATGGTAATGTGAGGCTTTGCTCTAATTTTTAAGGATCGTGCTCAATGAGAAACTTCTACTTTGGAAGCTTGAAGATTGGGATCAAAGAAAGAAGCTCTCTTTGGACTCAGATCCCTACATGTGGATTTTCATAGGCAGCAGCAGCGTTCTGTGCCTCAGTTTACACCCCAAAAAAGGCTTGCAGAGCTATGTGTGCAGTGGGGTCACACACAGGATAGGGCAACAAACACAGATTGTGTAGTGAATACCCAGGGGGTTTCAGAGCACTTTACAAGATTTCTATAGTAAGTGGTAATTAGAAAGCCGCTCTGTTGCCATACTGTCCGGAATTCTGTCTATCTGAAAACAGATGCATGTCCTCTTTTTTTTTTTTTTTTTCCTCTTCCACCTGCTGAGTTCAAAATTTAGCTTACTAGACTCTAGGGTATTGATGGTGTTTCTTACAGTTTCATCATCACCTTATGATAAGTGGTTCCATTTTGTAATGCTTTATCTATAGACTTGAATAACCGTGTGGTCTTTAGACCTTTCACGGAGGCTGCAATCACTACACTTTGCAAATCACTAACATGGACATATAAGTGATTTGGCTTAGTCCCCTTTCAGGTTAAATAGAAAATGTTTGATAGAGTGTTGGGCTTATTGCATTATAGATCTGACATAAATTCTACAAAGGGCCAAGATAGGGTAATTTTTTTTTTCTTCACTAGTGAAAATTCCTGTTAGCTGTGAAATGATCAGCTGCACTTTGAATGAACCTCGCTTAGGAGACCGTTTGTCTTGGAGGGCTATAACTCTAAAGGGAAAGAAAATGTGACCTCTTAAACAGTGACTTTTATATCAGAGCAGTCTTTTATAACATTAGCCCCCGGTGCTCTCGCAACGTTGCAAAGCTATCTAAGCGCTGGATTGTCCTCCATTTACACATTGCATTTCTACACCTACGTATTTATAAA